CTTTTGCAGGACACTTAACATCAAATGAACACACCCAACAACCCTGGTGTGGGAAAGACCTTGGCCATCTCAGTCCTCTTTAGCTCTGAGATCTCTGAGGCTCATCTTCTCAAGGCAAGGGTCCTGCAGAACTAGCTTGGAAGACCCTTATCATGTCCAAAAGGACCTCTCTGGTGGCTCAGATGTAATGGCAACCCACTCCAGTATTCTTGCCAGGAGAATAAGGTAGACAGAGGAGCCTGGTGGGCTACAGTCCATGGGATCGCAGACTAACACTTTCACTTTCATCATGTCCAACCATCTTCCAAAGCTACTGACTCTGGTCTGAGAAGATGTGTCTGGTCTAGGGTCACTCAACCAACTAGGCGTAAGACTCAGGTTGGAAAACACATTTTTCAGAATCTCTCTGTAGGACTCTTTTATCAGGTTACTTCCTCTTGGTTATTACAGAGGGAGTTTGAGGTAGATCTCTCTAGAATGAGATCTTTCTCTTGAAATGTCTGGGTGTGGATGCTTCCTTCTTTGTAGGGGACCTCATTGTATATAAATCTAGGCTAACTGGAATTGGGGTAAACAGAAGAATAAATTTAGTGAAAAGCTTACAATAACCTTCAGACTCCTTTCCTTCTCCCAAGAGGAGGAAGTCATGCAGAGCAGGGTCCTCAGAGCGTGGCATTTCTAACGCCAGGGAGCTGCCAGCAGTCAGCCCCACGCTCTCAGTTGCCTGGGCAGGGTCTGCAGTGCTGCAAGTCTGGGATATAGGAGGCATTCATTCAGCATCTGAAGACCTTGAGATTGTATATATACATCATATATGTATAAATATTTATGGATATACATACATATATGTGTAAACACATATATATGTGGATAAGCTTATGTACATATACATAAATATATACACGCATGTATATGTGTATATATATACATGTATATCCACATATGTATATAATATTTATTGATTTGGCTGTGTCGAGTCTTCTGCGGCACACAGGACCTTTGCAGCATCACATGGGATCTTTGTTTGGGGTTCATGGGCTCTCTAGTTGTGGCTTTGTTGCAAACTCTTAATCACTGGGCCACAAAATTCCAGAGACAGAGAACCCAGGCAGGATGCAGTCCTCTGGGGTTGCAAAGAGTCAGACACGACTGACCACACACATGGACACGTGAGGGAAGTTCAGCGAGATTGTACGTTGTCCATGATTTACTTCTTGTCTCCATGACACATGGTAAGTTTCACATATTTGGAATGAAAACTTTGTCTCCTTTTAATTTTAGGACAAGTTGTTTCTCTTGAGACACGGGCAAGCACAGAATATGAATATTTATCATCAGCTCAGTATCATGCCTTTCATTAACCACTCTCTCTTCACCTGAATAATGTCCAAAACACTGGTCCCCTATATATATTTAGACAGATTTGTATCAACATTGCATTGTTACACTTGACTTCCCCCTTTTTTTTAATTATGTAAAAAAAAATCACATTAAGCCGAATCTAATTACTGCAATGTATATTAGAAGCAGGGCACCATCAAAATTTTATTTAAATTAATCAGGTTTTGATTTAAGATATTAAATTCAAATTAATCATGTAAAAATGGAAATGATCCTTGACGTGCTTCCAGCTGTGACTTCAGTCTGTTTTCTCGTGAGTCACTTTGGGGATGTCTTGGGGGGAACATTACAAAAATTCACGCCGGTGCTATTTCAATTAGAGTTATTTAGCAGGACAGATGTAAAGAATATGGTATAATTAAGAAGGAGCTGATGATGTGGCTACAGATTTTCAGGATTAAACGAGGGAAAAAAAAATACATGAACTAAAGTGAAAATTTGACTAGTGGCCATGATGCCCAAATCCAAGTGCAGAGAGGTGACGCATTCATTAAAGATGGAAAGAAGATTTGCAGAAATGTGCAACGTTTTCTCTGGAGCCATCTGCAAGACTCCTACTTTGGTTTCAACTTTGAAGTTTCATTAACAAGCCGGTACTAACTGATACGGCATTCTTATCATTCCTGAAATGATCTTTCCCCATGGCAGTCATAGCCGTCGACTAATCTGATTCCAGGGCCATCAGAAAGCTATGAGAGTTAAAACAATACTTCAAGACCCATTTTTTAAATCAAATTGCATATATTGGCATATATAATACCTCATATATAGATCCATTTGTTATCTATACTCACACACACACACACACACTTGGTGTGATTATACCAATAAACTCTTTAAAGAATGTTAATTCTCTCCTATTTGTAATAAATACGAGAGATTACAGAGTGTTTGTAACACAGCGACTCGTTTTTCAGAGCACTTAGATGGAGTGGGTGATAGTCCTTTATTCACGGGTGATGAGATGGGCTTATAAAGGTTATGCAATTTTCCCAAAGCTTCATATCTAATTAGACACTCATGGCCTGCCCACAGAAGTATCTTGTTCTCCACACCCTCACCTCTGTATGAAGTGGGTTTTTGAGGCTTCAGAAAATCCCAAGAGTCAGAATATGATCTTAAGGGCCCATTTAGGGCACAAACTGGTCAGAACAGAAATCCTGGCATTGTGATTGCTGGGCCAGGGCCCCTTGTTTGTCTCCAGCAATTTGGCTGAACCCCAGGGAGGGACTGGGGTGGGGGCTTTCCTACCAGAGGATGTGAGTCAGCGTGTGTTTCAGAGCCTCGAGTGATCACTATTTCCATGGAAAGAGCCGTGCATATCCTTTCCTGCATCCACTCTGACAAACGCCACTGTTCCCACGGGCATCGACTGGCCCCTCTGTCCTGCTCTGATGCCGTGGAGCCCCAGACGAGGGCTGCACCCCCCTCTGCAAGGCAGAGCCTCTTCTCCACCCGGGGCCTCAGAGTCTTGAGAACCTCGGCTCCTTCTCTCCTGATCTCAGGCTGGATCCTGATGTCACCACGAGTTTTACGTGCATCCCTGGAATGTGAGGGTTTCGAGGGCAGGAACCTGGGCTGGTTTCTCATAAATAAATTTAACTCAGGAAGAATCAAGGGCTTCTTCCTGGGCTTTGGCTTCTCACACAAGCAAGGGGCTGGAACCCCAGTAGGTAGCAGGTGAACGTTTGTGCAAGGAGAAAGAGAGGGACAGCAAGGAAGAGGAGCAGAAAACACGAGTGAATGAATGCTTCCATCCCTGAGTGAAGTGACTGCTCTTTGTGAAGAAGGATGGGGAGGCAGGTGGGAGACTCTTTCCTCCTCCATCTCAACCCTCCCTCCACAAGGGACTATCCAATCAGGGCAGGGGTCCCACCCCTCAGACATCAACTTTAGGTTTATCTCACGTGTCTGGGCCGACGGCAGAGTTGTAGAAAGCAGGTGATTCATTGACGGGCTCTGCTTCCCACTCATACGATATAAATATATGTAATTACTCTTTCAAAATCACGTTTCACTCTTTAAAAAGGAATCAGGTGGGAGGTTAAAATAATAACTTTTTTTTTTTCTCGGTGGAAAAATGGTCTTTTTTTGTCAGTTAAACGAAGTTGCTGATTTCTCAGAAATCTGATCAATCCAATAAAAGGAACCTTTCAAATACCAGGATAACATTTTATTTTCTTTTTTGTTTTCTGGTCTTCTTTGTTTGGACTTTTCCGTCTCGTTTGTGTCCAGTGCCATCCAACGTGGCAAACGGTCAGGCTTTGGATGGAGACCTCACTGCTTACAAGTCCTGGATGAGACGCTCAGCCTCTCTGAGCCTCGGTCTCCCTAGTTCTAAGTGCCTGCTTGTTTTGTAATAAAGAACCTTCCTCCCAACACAGGAGAAATAAGAGACGAGGGTTCGATCTCTGGGTGGAGAGATCCCCTGGAGAGGAGAATGGTAACCCACTTCAGTATTCTCGCCTGGAGAATTCTGTGGACAGAGGAGCCTGATGAGCTACAGTCCATGGGATCGCAAAGCGGCAGACACAACTGACTAACTAACAATTTTATTTTCAACCCATCCTTAGGCTGCTCCTCTTAGAAGGTGGTGGAACCTGGATTTCCATGGTTGTCACTTGCCCTAAAGGTTGGGATAAGTCCCTACAGCTCTTAGTAGATAGATAAGGCATCACTAGCTTGCTGGGGCTTAGACAACTTCCTTCTAAATTCTCCAGAACTACAAAGGTATTGTGGGAAACGGTTTGTGCTTTGTGGACTTGACTTAGGATCCTCTTTTGTAACTTAAAGTTTTGGTGACATTGCACAAACACTCCATTTTCTGATTTGGTTTCATGTTTTGTGAAATGAAGAGTGCAGTGATTAACTGAGACAATTTTTGTCTTCTCTGACTCTATATTCCAGCCTCATCTCTCCTGCATCCTCCTTGAGAAGTGAAAGACTGAAAGTGATAGTCACTTGGTCATGCCCAACTGTCCATGGGATTCTTCAGGCAAGAATACTGGAGTGCGTTGCCATTCCCTTCTCCAGGGGATCCTCCTGACCCAGGGATAGAACCCATGTCTCCTGCATTGTAGGCGAATTCTTTACCATCTGAACCACCAGGGAAGCCCCACATCCTACTTGATTGTTCTTAAATATGCCAAGCAGGCTTCTGCCCCAGGGCCTTTGCACTCTCTGTTCCATCTGACCCTGGGCTGCCCTTCCCAGTTACCAAGACTTTGTTTTTTTTTTTTTTTTTGGTCACTTCACTCGTATGACCTCAGTGTCCCTCTGTCAGAGATCCTTTCCCTGATCATCCTCGCCTGCCTCCAGCATTTTCTATCCTATTATCCACCTTTAGTTTTCTTCATAGCACTTATCACCCTCTGAATTTTTTTGCTTTATTTCTGTATTTCTCTCTTGCCCACCCCCCAACATTAGATCTAGGACTTTCTCTCCTGTTCCCTACTGTATCCTCAGGATCTAAAAAAGTACCTGGCAAGCAGCTGGCTTGGCTGTGTACCTATGTCTCAAATAAAGTGGAAAATTCACCCAGGAAAGGCAAGCTCTCCTGCATTTTCTGAATTATCTTCTCTGGGGAGCTAACCCTGGGTTCAGAAGAAGAGAGCCACGACGCCGGGCTGTCCCATCCACGAAGCTTTGTGCTCAGAGGGCAGCTTGTGCTTGATGGCCTGAGTGCACTCCTGCAGTAACCGTCCACAGAGGGACAGGAGAAACGCTGGGGAGAGAAGGAGAGGAGCTGAATCATAATCTAACTGTCAGAGCAGCAGTGGGGAGGCTGAGTACGGGAGAACCCCACCCCCCACTGTCCTTCCTCCCAGTGTCCCTTGTCTGTCCGTCCAGAGAGCCTGTCTCACACCTGATCCCAGGAAGAGCCTTGCATCATCACCCTTGTCACTTGGGAAGCCAAACTCTGGCCTCTTTACTCAGCGCTCCAGGCCAGGGCTGCGCTCCTCCCTGAGCGCCCCCGAGAGGCCGGGCATCCCGGCTACACCAGGTCAGGGGCAGCTCATTAATACTGAATAGGTCTTGGCGACTCCTGCTAATTGCCGCGGACTCTGCCGGTTTCCGTGTGTCATTATCGCCCCTGCCCAGGGTCCCTGGGGCCACATTTGACTTCAGGCGGAGGGCAGGGATCTCCGAAGAGGCGAAAGTTTCACTGCATCTTTGCATCAGGCCTGAAAGTCAGTTACTCAGAGCAGGTGAAGGTGGGCACCCAGTTGAGCATGCTCCCAGAGGCCATGCCTGTGCGGTCCTTTCACATGTCAGCCACATCAACCGCCCAGCAGTCCTGCAAGGGAGATGCTTTGCTGTCTCTTTCTGTCCTGAAGATGGGGAAACTGAGGCTCGCATGGTTCCCACCTTCTGAGAATGCCACAGACCTCAGCTGGATTGACCAGACTCAGGGCAAGGCTGATCTGATCTCCAGTGCCCGCAGCTGCCACCACCTACACAGTGTGCAGAGCCCAGCTCCGAGGAGGGACAGCAGATGCGATTCACAGACCCGCCGTCCTTGTTTGGAAACTAGTGGGGCCAGGTGCCCTTCAGAAATCAGAATTTGGCACTTTATAGAATGCTACTGTGTGTCACAATTGTATACTATACAACATCACACTCCCACCCCCGCCCACCCCTCCTCCAAGAAGACTCTGGGGCAGCGCCTCGGGATAGTATGCATTCAGATTTCTGCAGCAAAATGTATGAATATTCACACTATGTGAGGGCAAAGGACTATAAATAGCCTTATACCCGTCCCATCAGTTCAAGTCAGGTTTTGCCACCAGATCAACAAGGAAAATGACTTTGGTTTGCAAAGCTTTTTTTGAAACTGAGACTCTAAGATTATGACTGGTACGAGCTAAGAGACAGGGGCTGCTCTCTCTTTCCTCCATATGACAGACAGCATGTACGGCAGCCCAAGGATCGTGCACAGTTTCAGTTTATAAACTCGATGTCATTCGCAAGCAGAGCACACCTGCAAAGCAGAGAAGGTTCTTCAGCAGAGCAGTGGACGCCAGAGTGTCGCAGCCTGGCCGCGACAGCCCAGGATCTGAGGCTCGGTAAACATTCTGCAGACAGTGCTTATGACTGTCATCACCTGGAAGAGCCTGGTGTCACTCAGATTAAGCTTCTATTAAATAAGTAGACACATGAACCAGGGCATTCAGAACACAGTCACTCACTCCTCTAAGTTTTTCTCCATCAGTGTTGGTGACACTGTGCGTTTAACTTGGAGCAGTTTGCAGATGTCCCCCTGGCCAATCAAAGCTCAGGCATTACCCTTGTTACAAAGGGTGGTGTGAGGCTGCAATCATGAGGAGGTGGTGTTTTTTCTAAGACTTTAATTCAGAGCGTCCTCTCCAAAATCCGGAAGACTCTTTCAACCTACTCCAGGCAGCTTACAAGAAAGAAACAGGCCCGTCTACATTTAAACTAGTGATCTGACCGCAGGCCCGCGCTCGCGTGGGAGACGGGCTATTTTGTTAAGGCCCTGAGAAACTTTTCCTTCCTCCCATCTGATAGGGTTGTTACTTCCTTTACAGTGTGAAGAGCAGAGATGCAGCTTCCATCCCCCACGCCCCAACCCCCTGCCACGTGGTGAAGGCCCAGAGCAGAAAAATAGGCCGGGTTTTCACAGAGACACACCGGAGGCTGTGATTACGTAACCAGGCAGGGTACTTGCCAGCTCAGGCTCACGGGTGGGTGGGGAGGGAGGCAATCCTGGGGCTTCCTGCAGAGCGAGCACCCAGGTAGCCGTCCTTGAGATGGGCTGAGTGGGGAGGTTCACTATGGAACCCCAGCTCATAAAAAATTTGCTGCCTTAGTTTTCTCATCTGTGAAGTGGGCTTCCTATGGCCAGTTCACAGGGCCTGGAGGACCGAAGGATCTTAAGCCTACAGCAACCCACCTAATAAACTAACCCTTCCTCATTGTTCATGATGTTGCAAACATCATCTTATTCAATCCTCACTATGGCATTGTGAGGTCCTTTCACATGTCAGCCACATCAACCGCCCAGCAGTCCTGCAAGGGAGATGCTTTGTTGTCTGAAGATGGGGAAACTGAGGCTCCCATGGTTCCCACCTTCTGAAAATGCTGCAGACCTCAGCTGCATTGACCAGACTTAAGGGCAAGGTTGATCTGATCTCCAGTGCCCGGAGCCAGGTAAAAAAAAATTATTTTTATCTCCATTTACCAACAGGAAGACTAAGACACAATATCCTTAAGTGATTGGCTCAAGATTGTAGAGACGTTGGTGGACCTGAGACCATGTCTCAGGGCTGTCTGACTCTATACTGTATTAAATCCACTCAGTAGGTCAGTTTTGAAACTAAAGTCTTAACAACTAAGAAGCAAATCACTGATACCCTGTACTAACAGCAAGAAAATCATTATTCTTCCAATCAAAGTATCCAGCTTCACAAAGACTAAGCTAAGTAAATATTCCAAGTTCTCAGTTTTTAAAGTATACAGGGTTCTCAGCCCAGGACAGAGGGTCAAGAACAGTTTAGTTCGCATCCAGAGAGCAACCTTTCCTGTAGACACTTCAGGCTGAAGTGTCTGAAGTGCAAAGGTGGACACGCCCTTCACCAAGACAGACAAGCACGGCTCTAGAGCATCTCAGGTTCTTTATCTGGGGAGCCTCTGGGGCCTTGGAGAGGAGAAGGTTAACCTTTGAAACTGCAAAATGATGGCCTGTGTCTTTCTTTAACAGACTCGCCGGCTCCTGCCTTTCCAGGTCTCAGCCCAGCAGCTGGCTACCCCCAGGCCCAGGCTGCCTGTTTTGTACAGCTTCTGAGGGCTGCCCGGCTGCTGCCCTGGGAGTCTCCTGGCCACAGGTGAGGTGCTGTGGCCCCAGCAATGCCCAGGGGGCCAATCAGGCCGGGCCTGCATGAGGTAAGATGGAGAGTCACCCCGTGTGCTCTGGGTTTGCTCAGAAATCTCAGCAGATCAATGTCACCATGGCTTTTAATTACCCCTCCTAGGTCTCATCATTATTTCATGGCCTCTAATACGCCCAGCAGGCAGCCCTGGGCACACAGATAAACAGCCACCCAGCATGACCCGGCCCCCAAGGAGGTGCCCATTGTGGCCTCCCAGCCCAGGGGAGGGTAGCCTGACAAGGGCCAGGCCCTGCTGAGTGCTAATCCCATGGCCACCTAGAGCCTCCGAGGACCTTCAGTAGCCTTGCTCTCTTAAGACCCTTAAGCCTTGCCTTCTCAAAGCTTTGCTTTCTCTGTAACTTAACACCATTCACAGAGGAGCTACTTTGTGCCAGGCAGTGGAACCAGGCCAGATGTCCTGCAGTGGGCACCCCTGGCTTCTGCGGGCTCACTGCCTGCCCATGTCCCTCTTGCCAACCCCAGCTGCCCCTCCATGCTTGCAGTCTCTCGTCTAGAGCTGGATTCTCAACAGAGTGCCAAGTCATCCCCCAGAGGATATGTGACAGTGCCTGGGGGCATTTTCTGTTGTCACAACTTGGGGAGAGATGTTATGGGTATCCAGTGGATGGAGGTCGTGGACGCAGCTGACATCCTACTTTAGGACATGGAACAGGTCCCCCAACAAAAGGTCATCAGCCCCAACAGGGCCGAGGTCAAGAACCCTGACCTGGAGGTCACCAGCAATCTCCTTTCACCTGGTCCATGTAACACTTTCTGCATTGCTGCTGACTTTCCAGGCCACATCTGCCCTCATATCTATTCTTCAGCAACAGAAACACTCAAGGTCTCCCAACTACACCTGCTACCTGCCTTACAGGAGCATGCCTCCGACTAGTCCCATCCCTGCCCCCTGAATACCCTTCCCCATTTTCTTCAACTACCAGCTGACGTGATGCAGCAAAGTCCCGCCTCTCCTTGGAAGACCCGCCAGCAAAGTGGTCCTAGCTCAGCGATCAGCTCTTTCTCTCTCGGGACCGCGCAGGTTCATGTTTTCCTACCACCTCTGTGCCTGCAAACCAAACGCTCACGGCTTACTCCCCTGAATGATTAAGAATCACCGTTGACGCTCTGGGATTTGAGGATGGCTTTCAGTTTTTAAATAAGCCAGAAAGATCCAATGTCCTTGCCTTAAGAGGGTCTCCCCGGCTCATGAAGCATTGCTGTGATTCTCTGCATAAACGAGGGCCCCATGGCATTGAGGCAGGAGCCGATTCTGGCCCTTTCCATCACCCCAGGCACACAGCGCCAAGTGACCCCACGAGGGGAACAAGTAGTTGCTTAAGAAACACCTGCCATATAGTGTGGACAAATCCATCATGTGGTCTGGGATGGAAGAGCTGGAAGGCATGGGCCAGGCTGGGATCGCCTGGAAATCCTTGTTCCTGGAGGATGCTGCCATGAGCCAGCTTCATAAACGTGAACATTCAATAAATTCTGTGACCACACACTGTGGCTCCTGCCCTCAGAGACCTCAGCGTGTCAACACCTGGCCCCCAAACTGTTCAAAGTCTCACTGAAACACTTCAGTGATCTCAGAAACCATCCCTGAGGATAACATCACTCTCATTCCTCTTTAGAAGAAATGGAAAGAGGTGAAGCAATTGGTTCAAGGGCAGCAGCTAAGGCGTGATGAAATGCAGACTGCCCCCGATAAAGCTGGAGTGTCATCCAAACCTGCCCGGTGGACAGGCCTTCTGTTTGCACGTAAGTCCATTCAATACATTTTAATTATACATGACTCTGGTCCTGGCCAGCCCCAGGAAGGAGATGGACCAGATCTGGCCCCTGCGAGACTCACAGTCAGAGCAGCTCATTTCAGGGGACGGCAGCTCTCTCGTCCTCAAGGAGGCAGGCCTGGGGTCTGCAAAGGCTTCAGCCTAAGAAGGCCTTAGCTACTTTAGCCACCATCTGTTGGTTTGGGACCCACGGATGAGAAGACAGAAAAGCAGCGATGCAGAAAGCATTACGTGGACCACGTGAAAGGGGTTTGTTAAGGGGTTTGTTGGTGACCTCTAGGCCAGGGTTCATGACCTCAGCCCTATTGACATTTGGGCCTGGATCATCTTTGTTGGGGGTCTGTTCTGCACTCTAAACTAAGATGTCAGCTGCATCCCTGGCCTCCATCCTGTCAGAGTAGACAGGGTTGGTCAGGCCTCCACAACTTCTTTTTGAACTTTATTACCATGTGAGCTCATGGATGAATGTTTTCATCTTCCTTTAGGTTCTAAACCACAAGCATGGGCACTCCAGAGCAATTCTCCTTTGTTCTCGAAATTGTGTCCCCTGCACAAAGTCCAGAATCTTCCATGGGGGTTTATCATCCTGCCTACCCTTGACCCAAATTTATTTTCCTGGGCTCCAAAATCACTGTGGACAGTGACCACAGCCATGAAATTAAAAGACACTTGCTCCTTGGAAGGAAAACTGTGATAAACCTAGAAAGCATATTAAAAAGCAGAGACATCATTTTGCTGATATAGTGAAAACTATGGTTTTACCAGTAGTCATGTATGGATGTGAAAGTTGGACCATAAAGAAGGCTGAGGACCAAAGAATTGATGCTTTCAAACTGTGGTGCTAGTGAAGACTCTTCAGAGCTCCTTGGATAGCAAGGAGGTCAAACCAGTCAATCCTAAAGAAAATCAGTCCTGAATATTCATTGGAAGAACTGATGCCAAAGCTGAAGCTCCAACACTTTGACCACCTGATGCAAAGAGCCAACTCATTGGAAAAGACCCTGATGCTGGGAAAGATTGAGGGCATGAAGAGAAGAGGATGACAGAAGATGAGATGGTTGGATGGTACCATCAGCTCAATGGACATGAGTCTGAGCAAGCTCTAGGAGATGGTAAAGGACAGCGAAGCCTGGCATGCTGCGGGCCATGGGGTTGCAAAGAGTCAGACATGATTGAGCGACTGAACAACAACAAGCATCCCTGGAGTCCCCTCCACAGAGTCCTGCCCCCTGGGGGGTGGGCCCACAGCTCCTCTTGCCCTGAAATCCTCACAAGAGATGGGGGACTCTCTCTTGTTTGAACCTCTCTCTTTCAAATCTTGAGATGGGTTGGCTCTGAACTTGACCATTCCTAGATTACTATTGTATCTGGCTTCTTAATGGAGACTGAATTTATAAAACTTTTATTTGGTCAGTCAAATGGGTAGTTCCTGATAACGAATCAGTAGTAGCTGATCACTGATGAGTTAAATTTATAGAAATACAGAAAAAAAATGTGTATTTGTTTAGGAGAGATCTTATACATAAAGAGTTTGTCACAAATTTCACCTTGAAAATATCTCCATTTACCTAAGGCTAATATTCTCTGGGGAAGAAATTCTGGAGAATTATGCGGGGAAATTAAGGATTTAGATGCTAAACACAGATCTATTTATAAAGCTTTTCTCTCTCCCTCTCTCCCTCCCTTCTTGTTCCTGCCTTCCTCCCACCTTTTGCCTGCCCTCCTGCACACAGGTCAGACTTCCTGTACAATATTTAGGGAAGGACTCCTATTTGCTAAGGAGCTAATTTACACTGGGGTCTCTGTGAGAAGCTTTGTTTTCAAACGCCACCCTCATAATGGCCCCTTGAGAGAAGTGTTTTGTTCCCTACGTTTGCAGAGACATTCTGCTCTGCTCAGGTTCACAGGACTTGCATGTTACAGAGCTGTTTTTACCTAGAACAGTCTTCCCTCAAAACCAACATGCCTTCCTCTAAAGACACACTCGCAAAACTCCAAAATTAGAATAAATAAGGGGATCCAGGGAGAACCTCTCCCTCAGGGATCAACAGCACCCATGGCTCATTTTGAACTTTAACCTCGAGTTAGGGGTTGGATGATGGTGGGGACTTCTGGAAGTTTTCCCAGAATGGCACTAGTGGACATGGGTGTCCTTTGAATATAGTTAGCAAATCCTTCAATATTTCTTGCAGTCCCTCGAAAACAAGATTCCTCCTTATGCTGCTGAAGCGAAAACTCTGACTGAACTTGGGGGTCTCTCACTGAACTTGAGCACCTCTGACTGGATTCTGGATGTCTCTGAACTGAGATATTGGACATCTTTTTTTTTTTTAGATTTTATTTTATACCCCCGATGAGCAATGCTGTGGTATTTTCAGATGCACAGCAAAGGGACTCAGTCATACATGTACATGTATCCACCCCCCCTCACAAACCCCCTCCCATCCAAAGTGCCATATGACACTGAAACTTAAGCAACTTCGATTATACTCTGAGCATCTGACTGAACTCGCTGTATCTCTGAAGATTTCTGAAGTCTCTGACTGAAACTAGGCATCTCCGAGCTGCACGTGGGCATCTCTGACTGAAACCTGAGCATCTCTGATTAAATTCTCTGTCTCTGACTGAATCTGGCTCTCTCTGCCTCAGCTCGGGCCTCTCTGATGGAACTTTGGGCATCTTGATTCTTTGCGTGGCCTGCTTCTGTGCACGGTGCATGGTCTGTGGAGGCTGGGGTGGGGGGATCCATGTGGGACCTATTCCTTCCCCTCTCCTCCCCTCCCTCCTTCCCCTCTGAGAGTCTCCCCTTTACTTTCTGTGAGTTTGGATAACACTCTAAAATGAAACCCCACACCTTTTCACGCCCTGCAGTTTAGTAACGCTCGCACCTGTTCCCACTTCTGAGCGTCCCCACAAGACAGAGGACAGCAGTTATTTCCCCCGCCGACAAGCGAGCAAACAGTCTTTGAGACCCTGGTCGCCGTTTTTTTCTGTCTAATCCTCAACCTTTCCAACAACTTCCCTTCTTCCTCTCACTCAGGTGCATATCTTTACCTTCGTTCGAATTTGACGTATTTCTTTTTAATGTGGTGGGAGAATTCGGGGCTGAAAGACACACCTCTGGTACACATTCTAAGAAAATATGTCTTCCTCCCCCACCCTGGAGACTCCCACTGTCTCAAGTCCTTAAGAAGACACTGTGGGTTAGTCACATCCTTTGCTGCTAGAACTCTGCCCTGGTCCGGTTTGCAAGTCACCCTGGAAGGCCCCTTTCAGGGGGAGGCTTCGGCAGAGCAAACCACAAGCCATGGTGTCAACCGGCTAAACACTCAGGCATCGCGCAGGCCTGGGGAGGCATCGCGCAGGCCGCACCTGCGCATGCGCGCACAGCCGGGCCAGGAGGTCAGCGAGGCTGCGCGTGAGCTTGGAGGTCACGGGATGTGGGGCCAGAAGGAAGATGGCGGCCTGTGCCAGCTGCCAGGCCCGCTATGACGTTGAGGTTTCTCCCATGTGGAGGATTCCCCCGGCCTGAACATGGCCAGAGGGACCAATAGGACATGTTCACTGCACCATTCAGCTGAGCTTCCTGCAAACTAAACCACTCTCAAAGCAACTCTTTGAAAGAGGCCTGGGTGTAGAAGCTCATCATTTGAAATAGTTGGTTTATCAAGGGACCTTATCATTGGCAACCAGGGGAAGTCCTCACCAGAGAGAAGCCACAGGGGCTGCCTTGGGGCACAGTGACCCCGACATACATTTCTGAGGCGGCACCAGCTGTCCGGACCTGGGTTTCTGGGTGTTGACAGTCAGCCCGAGGATGAAAGGGAAGAGGCAAGTGGGAGCACCCACGATGGTGTTTGATGCAGAGCGGGTGCTCTACAAGGGAGGTAGACGGAAGCTGGAAAACACTGTCCACCAAGGTTGTTTCTGTGGGGGTGTGGCAGGGCCTGTGGACAGAAAGCTGAGCTTTGGCTGAGCTTTCTAGAAAATTATGTCTCTGTACTTGGTGTAGAACATCAAGGCTCACACCCGACCTCCCCCACAGGCTTGCTAAGATGTGACCAGAGGTTGACCACATGGGTTTGGTTTATAAATGCTGAGCTCTCCATCCCCACCCAGCCCTGCACCCCATCCTCCTTATTCTCCCTTGATTGAAGAAAATGCTCTGTCTTCTCCCTTGGGCCAGCAAGCAGACCTGACACTAGCCACGTGGGTTCTTCAATGATTGTTATGGAAAACCAAGGGAGAGCAGCTTGCTTTTCGGCAAAAGGAAGCCAAGGACTTGTTTGCAAACCTGACCTCTTGGAAGCATCCTTGGTGGGGACTTCCTAGAAGGAAGAGATGAGAGCTGGCTGGCCATGGGGTGGAGTGCAGAGCCTTCCACGTCAGCCCCAGTGGTTCTCAGGGCCTGGATGAAGGGCACTGGCCTTCATGACCCTTCAGCCAGTGTGTGTCCACAGTGTCTCATCCAGCAGGCCCCCACTCATTCAAAAGAATTAGGCTGACAACTGGAGATGATATGTTGCTGCCATTCATTTAATGCAACCATAAAACTCCAAAGTTTGGCAGGATGACGAAAGTGGCTGTGAGTGTATTGTGAACCTGATATGGTTAAGCGGAAGAAAATATGTCTGTAAATCACATGACATATCCTGATGTGGATTTCAGATTCACGTTCTCAGGTTGACAGTATTTTGGGCTTGGACACCAGTTTTACAGGATGGTCACAAGGAAAAAATAATTGCACAAACAGAACAAATTTTACAAATTTGAGGAAGGGGCAGGCAGAAATGGAGACTTAATAGAGTCCTGTTCTCTACATGTGTGAATTCCCAGCAAGGAATGGAACCCAAAGAGGGACACTTCTGGAAGATGGATTCTTAGGATCACTAGGGTTCATTGAGCATTTACTGTATGTCAGTCCAGATGCTGAGGCTTCTAAGGAGTATCTCATTTCATCCTCACAATAGCGCAGCAGGATAAGTTCCTCATTACAGTTGAGACAACCAAAGTACAGGTAAGTGAGGTGGTCATCCTTGGTGACTTGGCTTTCCAGTGGTGAAGATGAGAATCCAGTGCACGCAGGCTGACCCCCGCCCCGCCCTGCCCCCAGCACACACACTCCCACCTCACTGTCCAGGTGGAGCCAGATGAAGTGCAAGGAGCCGCGGAGTCTGTTCTCTGGTGCCTGAGCTGCTCCTGTCTCACCATCTTCATCATCTCCTAGGTGGGCTCAGCCTCTGCATCTGCAGATAGGGATAATGAAAACCCACTCCTTAGGGCTGTTGTTAGGACAACAATTGATGTCATCTGACCAAGATGTCGATCTACACCTGTGCTTACTGCCTCGTAGGCTCTCAAGGTTTGCCAGCTTCTCGTTTTCGCTTTTCCTCACTCTTCCAGAAGGTGAACTTGACTTGGGTTTGCGCTCAGCAAGCTGGATGTCCTTTAACAGGTGGAGTCAGGCTCCCAGGGCTGTTGGGAAATGCCCCCCGCCCCACACCCGTACATGGGGTAATTGTTCCTTGGTGAGTTCCCAGTTGAGTATGGATGATGTTGGAACTTCTACATTGTGGCTGATTGGGACAGGACAGATAACCACTATTCAAAAGGTCATTCATTCAGGGGTCAGCCAAGGTCAATTGCAATGGTCGTGCCAACTGGTCCATCTATCTGATCAGAAATCATACTGAGTAGGGAAGGAAAGGGAACTGGCAGGGGGCTAGGGACATTTTCTCAGTGTCTGAATCACCAAGATGACAAGGTCGCAGCTACATGTCCCTAAGGCAGGGCTGGTTCAACCTGAGTAGGTTAGATCTGACTTGGGTTCCCAAGTCCCAAATGTTCATGAGCAGATGAACCAAACTGGAGATCTCAACTTCTCACATGGTTTGTCTGTGGATGGTCACAGCCCCTTAGCTGATGCCATTGGTTCTACATATTATTAGTCGCTTAGGATGGTCCCCCAGGATTTAATAGAGCACTCGAAATAAAATCAACTCATGATTTATTGCAAGTGTTACATGTGCATTGCAAAAAAACCAAAAAACCCTCAAATAGCATAAAATGGATATATAAGGAAAAGTTTCTTTTGCAGCAGGAGTGACTACTGTTAACTATTTGTATTTATCCTTTTAGAAATAGACCAGAGGGGCTTCTGATCATTACTGGGGATGCTGACATGCAAACAGATGGTGTATAATAAAACTCAGGGAGTGTCATCCACTATCAAGGGTGAAGAAAGGGCTCCTGGGGGTCTTTGGGGAGTCTCTAATGCTTATGAAGAATAAATGCACAGAGAGGCAAAGGTTTTTAAGGGTGAAAATGTGTTTTCTTAAAAAAAAAAAGAATTCCATGTAGGGGGACATCATAGGCAGAGAGGAATATAGGAATGATAAAGTGTGTCTGTGTGTGAGTGTATGTGAGTGTGCATGTGTGTGTAGGGCCTGTGTGTGTTGGGGGGTGATGCTCAAAGGAAACCAGAGCCCATGGCACCAATCCTGAGCTCTGCAGAGATACGAGCCACTGCGACCTCAGGTGAGACTGGACATTGCAGAGGGGCGGAGGACACCGAGGCGACACAGTCTTCTCTGGCCCTCTTGCTCTTCCCGAGCCCCTGACAGGCCACAAAGTTGTTTCAAAGCCACACTACACCCCCTCCTTCTTGTGCTTCCCGCCATCCACAGAATGGACCGGCAGGCTGGGCTCAAACCCCAGATCAGCCACTCTAACTGTCTAACCTTCAACAAGACATGGCCCTCTTTCTGCTTCAGTTCATTGGTCTACAAAAAAGAAAACATGAACAGTCCACTGAAGCAGATTACTGGGAACTTTAAATGGATTAATCTATGCACACAGTGGAATGCAAAGAGGGAAACTGCGAAAAAAAAAAAAGACTTGTGATACCCCTAGTCAATACTGCCAAGTCTTGTAGGCGCAAGGCACCAGGGTAGAAGACGTGCCCCTGGCCTGGAGAAGGTCATGGACCAGTGGGCAGATCAGACCTGGGACAGATACTTATCACAGCAGAGCCCTACAGAGCAGGTCCTGAGGAAGCATCAGGAGGGATCAAGGGACCTGTCCCAAGGAATGTGATTTGATTCAACATGACTCTTTGCCAGGCAGGAAGGGGGAGGTGGATTCTGGGGCCAGGTCCTTTCTGGAGCCTTCCATTCTCTCCCAGGAGGCAGGGAAGGCTGTGCATTCCCAACCAGCATCTCCCCTGATCCAGATGCTGCCCCAGACTCCACTGGCATTTGAATAATGCAGCTTCGGTGGGAGGTGGGGTGGGTAGCAGGCACTTCCTGCCTCACTGTCCCCCCTGCACGTGGGTGCCGCTGCATAATGATCTGGGCTGGCTCAAAAGAAGGGATCTTGGTTCAAAATGTATGAGTTCATTTTTATGTTCTACTGAGAAAATTTATTCAGTGTGATGCTCGGTAGCGAGTGCCGTAAAACACCTTAATCCCTGGTTGAAGAAAGGTAATACCTTGACAGATGTGTGCCTCCTACTTTCCTCCCGGCCATGTTTCAACAACAAACCTTTATTTCTGCTTCTCGGCTGTAGCAGGGAAGAGAAAAAAAAAAAAAATGAGGAGAGCAATAAAGCAGTCAGAAATCTCAGGAGCCAGGCGGCGATGCAATCGTAATGACAGATTTTTAATGTGGCGGGAGAGATTGACAGAGAAATGTCTTCGGAGCAAACGCTTGCCAGATGGAATGCAAACGGTTTATTGGAGTAGAGAGGTGCAGCTGAACCGCGGAGAGAGCGGGCGGAAGGTGGTCTTTCTGGATGCTGCGAGTAAACACACCCGGGAGGGGGGATGGAGGGAGGAGGGGGAGAGAAGAAACAAAAAAATCAATTAATTAATTGAGAGAAAGGCATTGAGGTAGACCCCAGATACGCCTTGCAGACAAAGATCAGCCTGTCCTCTAACATAAACAGAGTGTAAGTTCCCCAAAAGCTGAGATGGGAGAGGACTGCGTTTGGAAGTAGAAAGATCTGGATTCAAGGCTATAGCTGGTTCAACTGATGAAGTTCTGTTGAATCCTGAAGCTCAGCTTTTTCTGTAACTTTGAGCCCTTTGAATATTTATTGTTCTACTATAATTTTCAGCGTCTACTGGGTACCAGGCACTGTAGCCAGAAAGGGAAGATGACTTTGTTCTGAAGATGTTTGATGAGATGCACATGCATAGCATTTATTAATTTGATCTCTGTGAGAAGCAATATAATATATCCTTAAATTATGCATGAGTATATAAATATATATGTTTGAAAGTTATAGTGTTAGTTGCTCGATCATGTGCTAGTCTTTGCGACCCCATGGACTGTAGCCCATCAGGCTCCTCTGTCCATGGAATTCTCCAGAATACTGGAGTGGGTTGCCATGTCCTTCTCCAGGGGATCTTCCTGACCCAGGGATCGAACTGGTGTCTTCTGCATTGTAGGCAGATTTTACTGTCTGAGTCGCTAGGGAAGCCCCATGTATGTATTTATTATCTATATATCCACTCATCCATAATATCTATCCAGCCAGCCACCCACCCATCCATCCATCCCTTTTTCCTCCCTTTTAAAATAATTTTATGTATACAGTTCACAATCTGTTGGAAGTGGTTAAAATCGGTGGCATTCTCCAATTCAAAACTCAATACAAGTGTATAATAGCACTTAAAATAGGAAGAGTAGTAAAATCATTATATTCAATTATGCAAAATAATCAAATATTAGTAATATGTTCAAATCCATAACGATACCATTATATGGAAAGGTCACATTAAAAAATACGTATAAATAGCTGCAATATAAGAGAACGACTAAATCTACATAAGTAAAATGAATATTTAAAGCCTCCGTAGGACCATGTCAGAGACCCCAGGGATCTGAGCTACCCTGATATTCTGACTCAAGTTCCAACATTTTCATGAACCAGTTCTGACTTCGAGCAAATCACTTCTCTTTTCTGGCCTCAGTTTCCCAAGCTTGTAAAATCAGGTAGGGTGTATTGAATCAATACACTATAATTTACAGGTGGCACAATTCCCTACATCCTTGTGTTGCTAGCATTTTTAGGGTGCTAAGTGCAGGTTTCTGCCAGTGGATATTCTCAAGACTAACAGTAACTTTAAAACAACAAAGCAACAGAATGTCCAGCATAAGTGGAATGTGCTTTTACAATATAAAATACAATAAAATACTTTTCTGAAATAATCCACAACAGATGAATTCATCTTCTCTTTAGAAAACTCCAATCAAACATAAAGATGTCCCTTTTCAGCACCAGGAGCTACAAACCTCCTTATCCTCAGAAACAAACAAATGTAACTTCATGTTCCCGGGGCTGGCAAGTCAAGTTGA